CTTGTTTTCAGGTAAATCTTTCATCATTTGCTCTGCTTTTTGCCGAGATGATTCGTTATGCAAATAATCGCTCGAATACAGTTGGCGACCTGCAAGATAGGTTAGTTGTAAGGCGCCATTGATATTTGAACAAAAATCCTCTGTCCTGCTACTCCTCGTATGGAACATTCTTTTAAATATTTGTAGTTGGAAAAAATTGTCTTATGTAGAAGTAATTGCGTCTTTATGCCTCGCTCTGTGCCTTAGTCGTTGTTCCGTATTTCACCCGTGATGCAGATGTTTTTCTTGCCAAGCATACTGTTAAGTTTTACCCGCTTTCTTCAGTTATTACAAGGTTAGGAGCCTTTAATTTGCACATTTTGAGGTGTATTTCGAGCTTAAGCACGGCCAAAAAGCTGAAAAAATCTGGATTTAGCTCGCAAATTTCACTGAATCCTGGTCTTTGAATTCAAACCGTATGATCGGAATTTAAAAAAAAAAATCATCGATTGCTTCGACACCGGTTTTCTTCCCACTGGCAGCTTCCTTTACTCCGGCTACTTCTGTATACCTCTATCTTTAAGCGAAAGTGAAAAATTCAAAAGTTTTGGCTTTGATGCAAAAAAATCACCACACTCCGTTATCATCAAAGCACATGATGATGCCAGTCTTTTGTGGTGGGCGTTGGCGAAATGAGGAAGCAGGGAGAGGGAGAGGGGGAGGTGGGGGAAGTGGGGCGCAGGAGGTAAATGCTCTCCAACAGTTGCTCTCTAATATCGTCATAACGATGTTATTAGAAGTAGTTATTATATTTCTGCTTTCAAATAAGAATGGTCGACTTACACAGTAGTCGTGATTTTCTTTCTTTCGCAATTGAACCGAAACATCGGAACGAACCACCGATGCTTCGGTGCTTCTATGCATTGTTCGGCCTGTGTATACAGCTAAGGGATGAAACACAGAGGCTGCATCGTGAAATGTCTTCTTATACATGACACCTAATTCCAATCTTCTTACTCCACTATTCTATAAAATACATTAATTAGTGGGCTTGGGAATAATCACATTTCGAGTGATTTGCATTGCGAAAAAACCCCGCTTTTTGGCCCAATCCAGTGAATGTGACTTCTTTTTTTACATTTTCCAGAATTTCGCTAGTAATTCAAGTAGTTTTCCGTTGTTGATTTTCAAATTGCGACACCATTTCGCAGTGCCAGTTCTGTCTAGCTGAGAATGCAGTCAACCGCTGATAACTATAAGGAATGCGACAGAACATATACAAAAGCACAGGATCTATTTAGCTTAGGGATTCTTGGGCGTTTATGAAATAAGCACGGCGGCTTCTGCTTTCCGAATCGTTTTCCCGCTCTGCTGGATAGCCCAACTTTGATAGATTGCCAAACTGGCTAAATGGTACAGTCAATTTTAGGCTTGCAGGTTATGGCAGATTTGTGGGCAATCGTTTGCTGGATGTTATTGTACTGAGAGAGAAAGGCTACCGGCGAGAGACTAAGTTACTGAATATGTTGATGTTTGTGAAAGGAACAATTTGGAAAAACCTGTTTAACAAGGAAGCTGATAAGCTGGAAAGGAGCAACGATGACCCATGCCAGTGTACGTCCTTT